TGATATTCATGTACATGATATACATAGACATTGTTTAGAGATTGGAGATGTTATCATGATCAAAACTGGACGTATCATTAATTTTATAATCATGAGTAACCTTTATTTTGGAAAAGAAACGGAACTTGGATTATGAAAAGCAGTGGAATTTGGATTATTATGAAAACTTTTAAAAAATCAAAGTATAGTATGGGTTATAATTGAGATGATAAAAACAGATTAAGTGAGGACGTGTTGTGGAAATGCTAAAACAAGAACAATGAAGAATAAATTTGGAAAGCTGCCTGAAATATTGATTAATATGGAAATTGTGCAACTAACAAAAAGGAAAATGAAATGGAGTTGGGAAAAATACTGCATAGTTCCTGATATTTTTGGTTCATCTCTACTGAATTATTTCATTCATACATTTCCTGTCGATCGTTTAATAAAATATCAAAAACATTGTCCAAATGTTAAGAAATCCTGCATGGAAAAAATGTTAATAAACAAAACTTATATATGTATGTATGTTTTCAAACGATACTTCTTAAATATTTTATGCGAAATAAAATAAAGTTTATTGCTGATATTGCATTTGTTACAATATTGTTTGTTGTTGTTGTCGGTCTCATTATTTTGTCTTAAGGTAACTTTCTTTGGGTTTTTGTTGGGATGCAAAATGAATAAAAATCGCCTTTCACAATTGCCCTCCAACTGCCATATCTGTTCAGTGCATATTTCTACATTCGATCGCGATTGTGCAAAGTGTGGATTTCGCAAATATTTCAGGAAATCTAAATAATAGTTGAGAATAATTTCAATTCAGTTGTATGTGTTATAAATTATCTATAGACAATAGTCGGCAATTTTCCTAACTTGTTTGAGCATGTATGTCACGTGATCCAGTTTAAATATTAAATTTATGACATCAAACTAGATTATAGTAGTTATTTCTACAACTTAAAAAAATAAGCAAGGAACTCTCATCGTTTGGATCGCGTAATGTTCCAATAGCAATCATTATCGGATCCAATTTATTATCAACTTAGCCTCGTTTCCGTTTCAAGAGTACATGACATCCATATCAAATACTTATCACACCCAAGTTGTTTCAGAGTCCAAAATAGCTTTATACATGTATATCAAACGTATATCATACCCTATATAGCCTTGTTTTCATTTTCAGATTCCAAAATATCTACAAGTTTATCAAATGCATATCGTACTTCATCTAGCCTCACTTCTATTTTCAGGGTCAAAAATCTATATCAATAAATGCCTTATTTGAATGAAGATACACAAATTATAATATTAAAATGTCAAAAAAGTGAAATAAAGAGGCCGTTAAACATGCTGATTCTGTTGGAATGATACAAAGAATTATCAACAATTTATGATAACTTCATGATATTTTATATAATAAAAAAGAAAAACAAACGTGAGGTGCAATTTGTTTGTTCGAGGATATCACGTAAAACAAAATACCACAAGTATGCATTACTGTTCAATAACTAAAAGCCTGAATTGCGATTATTGGAGTGTCTTCATTATGACAAAATTAGATTGAGTAAAATAAACATGAATTTTTATATAAAAACGTGATGCTTTGCTAGAAATAATATCATTTTAAGATATAAATCATTATAAAGTATGATACATGGATATTAACGATTTCTAAATTTAATTTCTATGTATATGTATAATATTCATCTGATATTTAAGCATCTCTTTTCGTGTACATATACATATTTTTGACTCATCAAAAAGCGTTTATTCTTTTCTTCCATCATCACTTGCCGTCGTACGTCGTAGCGAGGTCACAATTACCTTATTATTAATTAATTGATTCAGATCATTAGATTCATACCTTTACAAAACAATATTTTAGTACTTGCATTTAGTATACTAAACTGTATTTACCACCTCTCATCGACGCTGATATTGTAAGATGATAGCTTCAAGTAAATTTCTTCGACTTATGGTAATGTTGTTTCATTAACTAGTATGTAAATTGTAAGCATTGTTGAATAAAGTAAGTTTTTATAGTGTATGACAGAGCTACTCCTACGCAGTAATCTCCCTTGCTCAGAACAGTGAACTTGACAATCTGACAAGGGAACTAATCACTGTACGGAGTTTGAAGATTCTGGTGACACCTACCCCACGTCCAATATTTATACTCCACGAAATATGGTCATTGATTAATATCCTCGAGATATTTCGACTATAGCCTCTTGACTGCAATATATATAGGTTTGCAGACATCTTGGAGCCTTTTTAGGTACATAATGAAGAAGGAATGTACTTACATGTAGTACTTTGAAACCTTCAATACATTTTTTATGAAAAAGAGAAAAGATTAATACTTTACTCAATATAGATTCATTATAAGATTTACTAATAGTCATTTGTAAAATATATAACAGAGGTTTGCTACATCTATTTGTGAGTAAATGTATTTATTTTTGTGTTTGAAGGTTTGTAAATATAAATATTTTATTAATTGATTTAAACATTATTTAAATCGCTTTGAGCTTTTGGTATATGATGTACATATGAAATTTGATAAGACTTTTCATTGTATAACCGACATTGCCTTTCATTAAATTTATCGAAGAATATGTTAAAAAATATAATGCCCCATCCAAGACAAACTAAAATTGTCAAAAAATAAGCGAGAACCATAACATTCAGCAAACGGCGAGAAACAAAACAGTGTATATTTTTTCTTACATTACAATGATCAACTATTATTAATGTAACGATATGTATTTGCAAATTCAACTTTAGTTTTCTACATGTTGGAGAAGAGTTTGCCTGTAACCACAAAATAACGAAGGAAAATTCTCGGTTAAAATACAAGTTCATAAGCAAGGAATAAAATTTAAAACTCTGAACGAAGAAAGAAGGAAACAACAAAAGTCATGAATAATTATAAATAGTCCGGTCACATGAATATATACCAGACAAAGAATGTTTTTATCGGAAGATATAAAATCATGGATAAATTCAAAATGTACAGATGTTACCTTAACAGATATTATTCTACAATGAACACTTAGAAAATGCAACATTGAATTTAATTTTGTTGGGAAAGTATACTCTTCATCGATGCAAATTCCAAGCGTTCAACTTTTTTAAAACCATGTCGCTATTCTTTTGAGAACACAATTATATAGTGCAAAAAACAGAATAGGGTTTCAAAGTTTAACAATTTATGGGGAAATATATTCATTATATATAAATTGAGACCAATGTTTAAACATTATTTATTTAGGCTTGATGTACTCTGCACCCACTGTCCTTTTTTGTATCTCTTGAACACATTGAATGACCTTTGGTCTTTTTAAAATTATTTCTTATAATATTAATGCATTAAGTATTCATGACAAGAGGTACAACTCTTAATTGAATATCAATTTTAAAATAGTAGGAATTGTTTCCCTTAAATTGATGACAATTTTTTCAGTTATATTGGAATTTCTCCCATATGTTAAATAAGTTTTATAATATTTTTAAAGTAATAAAATTCTGATTATGATTTTTTTCTAATGTTTTATTAAAAAAGGTATGACATTACAATTTTGACAACTTCGGTAAGATACTATTGAATTAATATCTTTATTATATTTATAAACTTTGAATGTAGAGCCTTAAAAGAAATCTTCTTATTCCTCCTTAAATGTATATCTCAATATATTGTATGTGTATGCATAAATGTATTGCATTGTGTAAAAAATCTAAAAATAAAAATAAAATAAAATCATTCTTACATTGCCTTTCCCTTTAAGAAATAAAACGGCGGGGCGCGGAGATGTAACACCCTAAATATCGCCCTCACAAATAAGCTTGTTTTCGCTTCGTTCCCCGCCATTTTTACTTGTTTATTCACGACTTTTTGATTGGAGGGGATGCGTGGCGAAAGCACGCTAATTAGCGGGGGCGTGGGGAAATAAAACTTCGCCCGCGCCCCTGTTAATTAATGTGTTTTCGTACCGCCACCCCGCCAAGCGAAAAGTCGAGAAATAACAAGTTAAAATGGGGGAACGGTGCGAAAACACGCTAATTAGCGAGGGCGCAGGGCGATGTTTAATAAATGAAACGCCCCACCACCCCCCCCCCCCTGCGGGAGGTGCGGAGCGAGATTTTAGAAACAAACCGAAAGCGTGGGTACGAGGCGAAGTCTAATCAATAAAACTTCGCCCCGCGACCCCGCCCATCTAAAAATACGAAAATTATCAGGTAAAATGGTGGGGGCGCGTAGTGAAAACACGCTAATCCGCGCTCCAGCCGTGTATTTCTTAAGTCTCGCTTCGCGCCAACGCGGGGCGAAGTTTTATTTATTTCATTTTGCTCTGCGACCCCGCTAATAAGTTCGTTTTCTCTCCCCGCTCCCGCCATTCCTGGATTCGAGGGGCGAAAACACGAATGTCACAAATCAGCCACCATATGGGGAGTTTTAAATTACTTTTCTTGGACGAGTGGAAACACATGTGAAATTCGTGTACATGACGAAAGACGTTGAAATTAATAAAATACTAGTTTAAACGTTTATGAACATTTTTGTGAGCCGTTTCTTTTAAGAAATGTATCGTATCTTCAGGTAAAATCACTTAAAACCGATGTAATATAACACGTCTGAAATATTTATGAAAAACGTAAATATTATTTTACATTTAATCTTATCTGTTCGTATCAGCAAAACACATAAAATATAGATTACAGCCGTAAAATCAATACTGGCATTGAAATATTTCTTCATAAGATACATACCGTAACTTTAATTTATGTTAGCTTTATTTTCATTTCTCTCCAGGGATCTTCCCCCATTCAAGAATAAACAACACTAAATGTACAAGTCTCTACAAAAAAGCCAAAAAAAAATGCAGATATTAGCCAAACTTTTATGATGTTCAAAAGTAAATAGTATTTAAACCCATTGTAAATAATTGTTGGACGCACTTATGATAATGAACACGAAGATTTATCTCCCCTCACTTAACCTAGATTTATTTTACTTCCTTGGTCACTACATGATTTTCGGAAAATATAGACTTCATTTTTACGATATTTGTGCACACAACAAAATTACGTTTAATTCTATGCTTTCCAGGACTTTATAAATACAAAGGATACCATGTAAAGATAGAATTTTGATATTCAATATCGTAATGTTGACAAATCTACTTTTTTAGGAGAAAACTGTTTATGAAAATGGTACGTGTATAGACAAAATGGAAGTTTCGGGACGTAGAGGATCACCAGATATTATAAGATCATGTCAGCCATGCAAAGGTGACGGTGATACTGTACAAGCAGAGGGTTATTGTGAAAACTGTAATGAGTTTATATGTTCATCTTGTATCAAGGCTCACCGGAAGTTGGCGGGGACAAAGAATCACGTGATCAAATCTAAGGATGAAATGCCGACAGTACTGTCCACTCAAAGTGCTCCGTGCACTGAACTATGTGATGTTCATATGAATGAAATAGTAAAGTTTTATTGTCAGGATCACGATAGTGTTGGATGTGGAGATTGTATGGTACTTGAACATACTTCCTGCAAGGTTCAACTAGTTTCAGACGTGTCCTGTAACTATGACAACGGTGATGATCTTGTTCGAATCAAACATAGAATTAAACACCTTCAGAAAAACCTGGATTCATGTAAACAAGAACTAAAAAGCAGTCTGATAACAGCGGATGAGATAAAGATAACTATTTTGAAGGAAATCAAGACGTTTCGTAAAGAGATGGACAATTATCTTGACAGGGTAGAAAAAGACCTTATACAAGAAGTTGAAAAGATCAGTGCGAGCGATATCGCTAAACAGCAAACAATTCAAGGTCGATGCGTGGCATTAAACGATGAAATCGAACAATTTAAAAGAAAAAAGGAACAGTTTGCAGACAATATCAATAACTTATTTGTTACATCAAAACAAATACTAAAGAAACTGCAAAGATGTAATGAAATAAATGAAGAAATTTCATCTAAAAGTCAAATTACCACTTTAAAATTTGCTCCTTCTAAAGAATTGAAGGATTTGAAAATGCAAAACATGTGCCTTGGAAACCTTGATAGACAAGTGAAGAAATTCTCGGGACGTTGCAGAAAAAGCATCGTTGACAGAAAGACACATTTTGTGAAGAAAATCGACATAAAGACAATATCAGGAAAAAAGACAAAATCAGAAAACGATTGTTTTATTACGGGAATGGCAATTATATCTGAAGCAGAAATTCTATTAGCAGACAGTAAAAATGGATCATTAAAAGTATTAAATCATAAAGAGGGTAAAATCACATCAACATTGAAACTGGCGAATTGGCCAGCTGATGTGACTACAATAAATTCCTCGTCTGCTGCAACAACTTTACCTGTTAAGGGAAAAATCATGTTTATAAATACACAAAATGGATTGTCTATAAGTCACAGTCTGCAAGTCAGGGAAGGATGCTGTGGAATAGATCATCACAACGGTATAATGGCATTGACTTTCAGTAAACCTGCTGCTGTCCAGGTATTAGATATGGAAGGTCATATTCTTCATCAAGTCAGTGATACAAGCATATTGGGTTGTCCACGTTGTGTATCTCTGAGTAACAATAATGAGAGTATGTACGTGTCTGACTGGGAGAACAACGCCGTGCATCAATTTACACTGACAGGGCATCTGAAAACTACAATTAAAAGTAAGGAGATGAAATATCCATATGGCCTAACAGTCGCCAACTGCGGAAATGTTGTTGTTTGTGATGCAGATATAAGTGACAAGATCGGAGTTGTTGTATCTGGTAAAAGTGAACTTTTACCTCTCTGCGTGCAAAATGTGCTCGATCCATTTTCTCTTCTCATTTGTGAAGACCAGGGGAAATTGTTTATCAGTGAACATCGTCACTCAAAAGAATGCAACTACATTAAAGAATACGACTTAAAGTAATGTAATAGCGTTGGAGCATTTTTGTATCTCAGTATAGAGTTTTTGTCCTTATTTTGTGAACAGCGAAAGACGCATGTTCTTTCACAGACAATTTGAAATTCTTTGCAGCAATCAAGTAGAAAAGCTTAATATATCCAGAGTTTTACATTTATTGATTTTTTTGAAATAATGAAATTAAGAATTTCAATTCATGAAACAATGTATAAGCAGCATGTGCCAATGTGCTTTTAACTATTTGTACGGTCACAGTCACGTGGTAATTAACAGTCACGCAAGTGGTCCTGATAAAATGAGTTAAAAATAAACCACTTGAATACTTTGTATATATAATTACTATAGACTGTTTACAATGATCTAGAAGTGTTTTTTTTTTATTCCAACATGAAAATAAACTCATTTATGTGCTGTTAAAAACCATAATACATGTAATTATAATCCAATAGATTTTTGAGCCACTGGGTGTCTGTGAATTTCGTAATCTGTTATCACATTTTTCTATTATGATATTTGTATTTTGTAGTTTTTATGTATAATGTATCTGACAACAATGTCAATTTGACTGCTCTACACAATGTTTGCATCATTATGGACTGCTCTACACAATGTTTGCATCATTATGGATATACTGTTAACTACGTTGAAACTATTGTGTTATTCACTCTCCTATATTCTAAAATCGGTATTCTAAAATAGAATATACATGTAATATAGTTTGTTATTTCTTGGCCAAAGCAAACAATCCAGTGATAAGGCTACCTTTTCGTGGGAAGGAAAGTCCAGTGATATCATGTAGGTCGTAATATAAGAAATGACATCATAACAGAAAAGAATGTCAAGTTCATTAGAATTCATAATTATTTATGTATCAGATATCTTAATCAGATTGCCTTTGTAACAGGAGATAAATAATTATCGCCTTAATTATGAGATAAAAAGGTTTAGCAACTAGTTATCATTTTTTTAAATCTTTAGGCACTGGATAAATTACACGATAGTTCCTATATCAATTCAACAATACTATAAAATCATGAAACTGTAAATAGTTTGTGTACGAGATAAGAAATACCCAAGAAAATACAAACAATTTTTTATAGTTTTCATACAAATATAAAAAATGCTTGATGCATTTAACACAATAAAAAACCTGAATTAATGCGATAATTACATGTATATGGTGTCGGGGGAAATGCCATCATATTTAACATTATTTTGGGAATAGATGTTAAAATGACAGGAATCTTATAAAGCCGTGATTTAACACCCAATATGATCGGTATACGTACACCATCATGTTTTCGTTATTTATAACCGGCTTGTACAATAGTTAATGGTTAATGCTCAAGTTTTCGTGCATTAAAGCTGCATGCCTCCAGATGAGCCGAAAACTATTCAAGAAAAACAAACTCAAGAAAAATGTTTTAAGATTTTAAGAAAAGCAAAAATTTATATTTGCTTTGCAAATAATAATTTACATGTTACATGTTATGAATTACTGACTTTGCAGTATTTACCACCATATTTCTTTTCATGTTTAGCACGACATCAATTAAACCGGAAACTACAGGGCCGTGGTGGTGTGGTATTGGTAGTTTTCACTCCGAATCACGGCAGAAAGCCACATTGAATTTACAAGAGCACAGTTCAGCCACCGCACTGTTCCTGGGCAAGCTGTCAAACGGTTTACCAGTACTAGTTGCCTTCACTTTTGCAAGGAATAAAAACTTCTGTACTTGCCCGAGCAGAGGTACAGTGCGAATGACCGTAGAAAGGATTTCATGATCAAGCACAACTTAAGTGACCTGCACCGTCCGGGAATCGAACTCGGGTCACCCGATTCACAGTCCAACGCTCTACCTAATAAGCTAACCGGGGGCCTTAAATGGCACCCTGATTCACGTTTATCAAAAAACGTGCAATATCATTCCGCGTTCGTTAATGCACGTTTTCTTCTTCGTAAATATATATCTGCGTGCGCAGTTTTTATGCAAGAGTCATTGATAGTAAATGATTGCCTAATGTTAAAGAAAATTCACCACTACGTAATACATTACGATAAAATTCTGCGAAAGGATGTATGTCTTTATTATATCATAAACTCTAATAAAACCAATTAAATTAAATAAAGATCAATATCTATAATGTACGCCAAAACGATAGTATATAAAAATGTAGGAAGAATACCTTTAAAGTGCGGTATTTTATTATAAAGCAGTGTACATGGATCAATACGCGTTAAAGTTTAAACTAGATCCGATTTCACATTCATGTTTTAATCGATTTTTGAAAATCGTTTAGTTCATGAAATGATCGCCCAATACGACCGCCACTGTCAAATCTTTAACACTTGTTCACGATATAATAATATACTATACAGTGCATAACACAACAACTGTAAGAAAAGTACACATTTACATTAAACATTAATCATTTCTTATGAATACTAGTATTGGTTTCTTAAACTGAACCATGAAAATGAAATGTATGCACGTGTATGTATAAAGTGAGTTTTAACTTTCGTTACATATTTTGAGTCGATACTGTTTAATCTTGGAGTAACGTAAACAAAAACAGAATTCAAAATGGAGGTAGCTAATTCTAGATTCGACAAAAACAGGTAAGGCGGTATTATTTATATCTTCCAAAAGTTTACAATGTACACAATTAAAAAAAATCCGTGTTATCAATTTTAATACAGTTTTAAGAATATCTGTTACTTTATTGAGGATTTGAAATACCCTGTAAATGTGACGTATCAAAAGGACGCTACCCGTGTCCCTCCATAGCAACCGAGTAAATACATGCGACTTTTGTTAGTTAATGAACTGATGGAATATCGATCAATTACTGCTTATCAATAAATTATTCATCTATTTCACCTTGTACAAAATCCTGATCCACCATACATATTCGTTTGTAATACACTTGAATAAAGTATCGCCGCTGCCATTAAATACGATCAAACTTTAATATAAAATCGCTTTTCATGTACCTTACACGGTTCGACTACATTCAAAAGATTTAATATTAAATGTTCGCCGTTTGGACTTAAACGGCATCTCATGTATAACATTAAACAATCCATTAAAAACACTGGAGGGAAAAGCGCGGTTGCTCTCATAAGAAGTCGGTCATAATTTAGGAATAACATCAGAAATTAGTAAGTTATATTATCATTTATCTTTGAAATATTAATTCTTTCTTTTTACTAACACAATCTAAGACTAAGTTATGTACAATGTCGCAAGGGAAAACAAGTTAAAACCATTTGTACGTTGTGACTGTGTATAAAACAACGCGTTAAAATTTGCTACACTATACGTATAGTGCGTACACAAATTGATTTGGAATTGATCGGTTTTCTATAGATTTAAAATAATCAGCTAAAATAAAGTATATCGTATCATACGAAATATAAACACGTACAATGTGTATACAAATATCACTTAGGAAGGTCTTTTGTTCTGTGTTTCAGTGTCTAATCTTCATACATTAAAGCAGCACACCTCCAGAAAGGACCAAAATATTCCAATTAATTAAAAATATGTACTAAGATTTTAAAAAAAGTAAAAAGATTCAAATTTAAGTAATAATTAATAATTAACAAGTTATATTTTCATACATAAAACTGTACTTAAGGTCCCTCATACCAAATAGGAATAACATTTTTTTTTTCATGTATATATTTTCAAAAAAGGTATTTCTTTTTAATTTTAAACAAGAGCGTTTGAATATATGAAATTGTACTCGTTTAAAATACCTTAAAAGTTTCTTGCTGTGGAAAGGTGTATACAATGTTGATTTGCCAATGGAAACCTTCAATATTCAATAAGTACATGTAATTGGTTTCTTTTGCACCACTTGTCAAAAATTGCAATGTTAATTAAGAAGATGCAGTTGGTATTTTTCATCCTTCCGACTAGTTCGGTGATTTCCGCCATATAGTTCGTAATCAGAGCTGCATTACTGGTACTGGTACTGCAGTACGTACTGCAGTGATTTTGCAAGTACTGGTACTGATACTTAATTACTTTCCCCAAAAAAGTACTGGTACTGCAGTACTGAGCTAAAATCTAGTACTGGTACTGGTTATGGTACTGCATAACTTGGCAAGTACTGGTACTGGTACTTAAGTACTACACCCTTAGTACTGATGCAGCTCTGATCGTAATCTTTTATAAATACGTAGATCAATAAAGGTCAGACTGACCTAACTATTATGTAGCGATATTCTTTTGAACAATTTACATTATGAATTATAAAATCTAGATGCTCAGTACTCCTTGTGAATCCTTATCACAATTTTTACTCCCTGATGATTGAAGAATTCTTTTTACATATATATTTATTTTTCTTTTGATAGCAAAGGGATGACATTTGACCCGAGCAAGGTCAGTCTCACTGACGTTGACCCAGTTAGCAATGTGCCGTATTTACACGAATCATTCGTTCTCCATACTTTCGTACCCATACGATACGTCAGACGACAAAAGCCATTTGATGATCCAACGTTCACGGGCATGTACCCAGACGGTTACCGGATTCCAACAGTGCTCACGTATGTATATGTATACATTGTAATTTTACTTGAAAAACATTCTGTTTATTATCATATGATAAGAGCAGTTATTCTGACCGTTTTTACATATTCAGTATAATTTATAGAAATTAGGTAGCTCTTATATTTTTCATCACATCTGTTAAACGGATTTTAGTACATTTTTTCGCGATTTTTATATACATTTCACATCAGCAAATGAGGCATGTTTTGTATGACAAAATTTATATGTGTTTGGGATTTCAATAACAATACGTGCTGTTGAGCGTTCAACAAGGATTACCTGTAATCTCTAATCTTCATTCATCATGTTGTATTTATTAGGATATCTAGTTTTATCAGTTTAATTTGATTTTTCTTCAATCCATAACAGCTTTATAAAAACTAGAAAATATCTACAAAATGTAAATTGGTAGAGGTTGGTTTTCCTCCTATTATTTCAATGCATAGTTGTAACAATTTTAAGATTCTATACCTAATGGTTAATGTTTTGTGGATTTTATTTATTCAGAAAAGATAACAAAGGTAACGTATTTAAGAAGACAACATTTGATGATGCTGTGGTTTGTATGATGGTTGGGAAAGAGACAGTCGGTCCAGACGACGAAAATGCAAAAGATATTGATATACTTACTAATTACGATCAGATGCGTCCAGGATACTTATGTCTTCACGCAAAAAATCAATCGAGACCGACAAAAAGCGCCCCTGCAATCTCGCGAGAACGAACAAAAACAATGCTGCAATCTGAAGTAACTTCACGTGGTACTTCTTCGAGAACTTATTTGAGGAAACAAAATCAAATACACGAAGAGTCACAGATAGCAGAAGATAACGAATCACTTACCCCACGGACAATTTCAGCTACACCCATCATGAAAACACGACGGAAAAAACTGCCAGACAACGTTGAATATGCACTTGCTCTGAAGCATCCATCTTGGCCGGAAGTTGCATCAGAGTGGGGAACACGTGGTCGAAATTTTGGATGGCCTGGGAAAAGAATCGAAAACAAGATCCAGTCGTCTGGATGTCACGTGACACCCGGGGCACATCCGAAAAGCGAAGACCCGGATGTAGAATGGGAGTTTACGTTTTTTGAAGCGGAACGGACTCTTGATAAAGAAGCAATATCTTCGGTTCAGCGTCAGTGCTTTATTGTGTTCTGCCTGTTATGTATGGAATGTATAGAAAAGAAGGCTATTTCTTTGCGTCAACTGAAATCAGTACTTTATTTTACCTGTGAAACAACTGATCCTCAAGTGTGGAGAACAAACAAGGCTGTATGTGTAAACAAACTTTTAGACACTTTATTAGATGGAGTTCGGAATGCTAATCTACCGGACTACTTCGTTCCTAAAAATAACACAATAAGTCATTTAGAAAAGGAACAATTAATGCAGTTAGATTCTGATATTTCTGCTGTGCGAAACAACACCGCGCAGTTTCTGTTGAACCTCACTGACTCGTGTGCCTTTGTTAACATTTTCCCTTTCTATTGTAATGTTAATGAACTTTTTAAACCGTTCATATTAAACGCAGAGGAGTTTTCCAAAAAGCAGGAAATAGAAAAAGCCGTAAGAGCGCTGCTCACTGTCACAGACGAATTATGTAGCAGCTTTTACCTGGACGCTGGCTTTGAGACATACGAGGAGTCTTATGAAGAAATCCACATCTACGTGCAATCATTAATTGCTCATGGAGTCTCGGGCTTTGAAGAGGCAATTGAGTATTTCATCAAACCACTTCAAGGAGACTCTGAAGCTCAGAAACACCTCCAGTATCTGCCTCAGCTACTGAGTCAAAAGAATATCTCACTAAGTGAAAAATTGCCTCCATTTGAGATTTGGCGCCCGATTAGAATGTGTCGTCTGTTGATACAAAAATTTGCAAACGACAAAGAAGGATCTCATTTGTATGACCATCTGGGTTGTATGTATCACTCTGCATCAAAGGTGTTCGAAGATCAGCGGCAAGACACGCTGAAGAAAGCTGACGCTGCATTTAAGGATGCGATCGGTAAACAGGATTGTGGGATAGGTACATATGTTGATTATGGCCGCTTTCTATGCAAAACAAAGAAATACGAAGACAGCCTACCGTTGCTTAGAAAAGTAGTTCTAAAGGAATTAAAGAAACCTGAAAGTGTCAATTTCTATGGTTGCATGGAATCTCTCGTTGCAGATGAATACATCCAAAGGGAAATAGAAGCCACAGATGGTCTTGAAATATTGTCTTGTGCATATGCTCTGTATCTTACGTGCGAATGTTATATGAAGCTGAAGAAAAAGAACGATTTGATGAAATGCTTAGAACAGTACAGCGACTTCTGTAAACAGATCAAAGATCCTCAGTCCATAGCGTTGCTAGGATATACTCGGATGAAACTGCATCAGTTCAAAAAGGCAGCAGCGTGTTTTAAACAAGTGCAATACCTGCAGCCGGAGAATAAACTTGTTAAAGCAAATATCACGGCTTGCGAAAAACACGAAGCGCGGGATGTTCCCGACGATCAGTTGAACATAGAAAAGAAACTTACAAAATTAAGTCTATGGAAATAAGCTTTTACATAGAGCTTTTATAACTTTTGCTACTATGTAGCATGTATTTATTCTTTACCTGCAGAAATGAATATGCCCTGCTTTGAGTGGAACCAGCTTGATGGACTTCAATATCAAAACAAATTGAGCTATAGTATAGAGCCTTGTCAGACGGGTGACAAAAGTTGATCACTTCCGGTTACAGCAGGTTGAGAGCAAAATTTTATGATCCTCTCAATTTTTGAATGTGTTCCTTTAAAAACAGATAAACGCAATATTTGATGATTATTACGCAGAATTAACTTTCCGTTTTTAGAAAACATGTTTTACAACTAAGGATTTTTAGAAACGTTTATAACGATATGTTTTTTTAGCAGAATGTTTAAGCTGGTCCTTTGTTTTCACCGTCATAATCATGTCGTTGTTTCAAAATTTTGTAAGTTTTTTACAAATATAACACAAACAACATCTCGTAAATGTTTCAAAATAATAAATTCAATACATTTTCACATTTTCATGTACAGAATGTTGAGTTCTGCTTAAACATGATTTAAAGGCCGCGGATGGTAGCTTGCATAAATCGGAGTACCCCGTCGACTATTCATAATCATCTTGGATTAAATACGAAAATAGAAAGTATTTTTACATCTGATTTCATATGTAAACAAAAACTATGGAGGCTGATTTGGTACACTGCGCGTTGCGTTGTCTAAAACGACAACACAACCTATATCGTTATTGCCTTTTCATCTTGTCGCTAGCGAAACTTGCCAAACGGTGCGTTGCCGCGATGTCGCCCTGTCGTTTGGCTTATACATATATACAGATAGCAAATCCTTTAATTTGAACCGTTTCACAATGTCTTGTCGCTAGTGAAACATGCCAAACGGCGCGTTGTTGCATTGTCGTTTTATCGTCATGTCGCTAGCGAAGCACTTAAAACGGCGTGTTGTCGCGAGGTCGTCCTGTGTTTGACTTATACATATAGCCAATCCTTCTATTTGATCCGAGCGACAATGTGACATCGCACAACACACCGCACGGCAACGCGCCTTTTGGCGTATATCATTAGCGACAGGACGACAAGACGAAAGTCCGACAACGCGCTGTTTGGCGCTTTGTCGTGCTGTCGCTATAAACAACACGACGCACAAAAATGTATCAAATCAGCCACCATAGAGAAAGTATTTTTACCTCTGATTTCATATGTAAACGAAAACTATAGAGGCTGATTCGGTAAACATTGCGCGTTGCGTTGTCGTTATTGGCTTTTCGTCCTGTCATCTTGTCGCTAGCGAAACGCGCCAAATGGCGTGTTGTCGTCTTGTCGTCCTATCGCTAGCAAAGCACGCCAAACGGCGCTTTGTTTAGCTACGCTTTGTCGTAATGTCGCTCTGTCGTTTGGCTTTTATATATATAGGCAAATAATTAAATAAGTTAACTCATGGACTGTGTTTTTTGTTTTATTTATATGTGACTTTTTTCCGGCACTTGTTTTCATTTTTTTGTATATATATATATATATATATATATATATATATATATATATATATATATATATATATATATATATATCTCGTTCCAAAATAAAAAGGGATTGTCCAATCAGTCCCTCTTTTTAGCCTTAAAATAGGGTTTTTGGGTGTAAATATTGGAGTTATTTTTCACAAATACGAATACAAAAAAGAACAAGTGACTCTTTTTTTCATTCAATTTTATTAAAAATTTGACTTAAAACATTGAATAAATACATATAACAAACATTTTGTTCGATCGATCGAACAAAAATATATATTTTGTTCGATCGATCGAACAAAAAGGGCAACCTTCTTATAACTTTATTTGTTCGATCGAACAAAATTTCTTTTCATTACCAAAACTTGCTGAATCAAATGAGATTTAAAACAAACATTTTGTTCGATCGATCGAACAAAAATGTTCAAACACTGTATTTGAAAATTTCTCTCTCAATCTGTACTAAAAAAATTAGCTTTTTGTTCGATCGATCGAACAAAAATGTTCAAACACTGTATTTGAAAATTTCTCTCTCAATCTGTACTAAAAAAATTAAAATTTTGTTCGATCGATCGAACAAATATATATTTTTTACAAAATTTTTTTGATTTCCAAAACTGGTCAAATAAATAAAAATTTAAAATAAATATTTTGTTCGATCGATCGAACAAAACTGTTCAAACAGTGTATTGAAATTTTCTCTCTCAAACTGTACTAAAAAAAACACAAAAGATTTTGTTCGATCGATCGAACAAATTTTCTTTCATTACCAAAACTTGTTAAATCAAATGAAATTTTAAAACAAACATTTTGTTCGATCGATCGAACAAAAATGTTCAAACACTGTATTTGAAAATTTCTCTCTCAATCTGTACTAAA